TACCAGTGTGTTAGTTTGAACATTTTATACCAAAGCTCTAAAACTGATGTTGCATTTCTGCGGCCCTCGATCAGGTTGACTTTCAGTATGACAAGGAAAGAAACATGCTAAGAAAGGCATTCTTCTCAATGCTTTAGAAGTCTTGGCACCTATGTACAAGATGCACTGGCACAAAAGGGAATGAAGGGTCTGATTTTGAACTCATACCCATGTAACCTGAACTCACTTCAGTGGGATTCCTCTTGATGTACATGAGCATCAGTGAGATCACATTCAGATGAGTCGGATGAGCTAAATGTCAGACGAGTCTGATTATTTGCCTATTTGTGCCTGTGTAGTCCTTTATACCAATGCAAAGTGGGTATAAAACACCATAAAATCCTAATTGTAACTCAGTTTGCATGTCAGTGCCAGTTCGTGGAGGATCTCAGTGGAGAATCCAGGCTAGGAAATGTAATTAAAGAGATAGTGGTCACATCTACACGAGATGCTGACAGCGCCGTTGTTACTGTGCAGTCATTTAGTACTTACATACACATTTAGTACTTGTGCATGCATGTACTGAATGACTGCCTAGTAACTCAGATTACTGCGCAGTAGCGTCCCCGATGGCTTTTTGGTGATGCTGACTGTGCAGTAGCGCGTTACTACTAGCTAGCGTCTCATGCCACGTGATGCTACTGTGCATTAGTAACGAGCTACTGCACAGTCAGCATCTCATATAAACGTGGCTACTGTCTGCTTAAAAGTTTATCCAACCATGCTTATGCTGAATCTCAAAAAATATTTTTTCTGCATTATTATTTTTAGCGGGTGTGTCTACGCGTCACTGTATGGCGATGTTGTTACTGCGCCTTTTTGAAGTATTAAAACATGGCGCCCATACTCTGCCATACGGACGGCATGCTGAAATTTCTCTTCTATGTTGCCGTACCAGTGCACTATAAGCGGGAAGTGTGCCATTATGGCAATGTAACTAGCGATCACTTGTAGACCCACATGATCGCTACATCACCATAGCACGCCCTACAGCAACGTAGCATGTAGCTACATCATCGTAGGGCAATGTGTAGATGCTCCCAGTATAAACACAAACAGATGCCTTAAAAGAAGCACCCATATCCAGCTAGTCTGAACTTACACCCGTGGCAGCACTTGGAGCATGAAGAACAGGCTTTTTATGGCTGAACGGACAGCAAAGTATTTGAATTTCACTTCCCAACCTGCACAAATTAAATAAGGAAAGGAAACCTGTCTGGTAAACTGTTCTAATTTCCTTTGGTTAATCTAAGGTGATATTAGGTATAAGCACCCAATAAAGAAATCTGTTTGTTTGAGTCTGGTGATTTTTTTGAAGCTGAAATTGTCTCTTTAAAAATAAGCAGAATCTGCAGCCAGAGCTGCTTGGGATGGAAAAGGCCTATTGCAGCACTGAATTCATGTCCCTGCAGGGGAAGTGCACATACCCATTAGCAGACATATGTTTAGCATGTAGAAGTTAGCAGGGAGGCCATCTCCCTGTGTTGTCTGTATGATTTGTGAGTGTGCCTGTTCCCTGGCCCAACCTATAACATATTTCAGTTGATATATGGCTTGCTCAGTGTGGGCCTGTGTTCTTCCTGCTCCTAAAGTGGGTTTGTATACTGCAGATGTATGCATGTGTCCATGTATATTGCCTATGGGCAATGTATCGCGTAAGAAGAAACTATGGTCCTTGGTTCAGATTATAGCTGAGTAAATATTGCTGGTTGCCCATGGGCAACTTTTAAGGGAAATGTTCTGGAAATGTATCAGACATAGGCTAGAGGTTGAGTTGGGGAGGTTGCAATCTTACCCTTCTCTTCTTTGGTCTATAGGAGAATCCTTGAGCTTTGCTGATGATTTGCTCTCTGGCCTTGCAACGTCGTGTGTGGCAGCTGGTAGGAGCCATGGAGAGGTCCCCGAGATCAGCCTCTATTCAGTCATTTTCAAGTGCCTGGAACCTGATGGCCTGTACAAGTAAGAAATGATGGGGTGGGATGGGGTGGAGGGAGATCATGAGGACTCTTCAACGACTGATGTAACTGCTGTCTAATACTTTTATTGCAGTTGTGCTTCAAAGCTTCCATCTAGTTGGATCACTGTTGTTCTAGGTGCTGTAAAAAGAGAGCTTTCTGTGGATCTATGAATTAGGGTTGAAGTCAAAAAACTGAAAGCCAGTTTTCCAGCAGTGCAGATTATGGGACTGTTTACACCTGGGCTTTTGGGTTGGTTCCATCCTTGGGTAGACAAGACTCATGGGACCTCATTGAAGCAAGCCTGCCTCTGATATATGATAAAATTGCAATCCCATCCATGAAGGGATGTGGTTTGCTTCATCTAATGACTTCACCCAACAAGGAGTAGGCAAAACCACCTGCTTTTTCTCAGTTCTTGATGAGCAAACAGTAGCCAGCTAACAAGCCAAATAGCAACCCCAGTGCCATTTGCAGCAGTGGCACCTTGTGCCTATTTACATGTGTTTGCTTTCACCGCAGGAAGGACAATAACAGAGCAGAGAGAGCCACTCTATCTATCTGATATGTATATAACAACCCTTGGAGAGCAGGACTGGGGTCCTTGCTCGATTCACCTGAGGTGCTATTTGTGGAGGAGAGGGGGTTCAAAGGCAAGGCATTTGATTTTCTCCTTAGCCCATGGCATGTAATTTATGACCCAGGCAATGTGATTATTTCAACACATGTGCATTTGATTCTTCTCTGTGCATTTGATTCTTCTCTGTGCTGGGGGGCTTTTCAGGCTTTTCCAATCTCCTCTCCTAACAGATGCCTCAGAAATATAAGCTCTAAGAAATGAAAAGGGTCAAAGTGAAGAAATGAGAGCATTGGCAAAATGAACTTTTTTGCACTGAGGCAGTTGTATATACTGGGGAAGCAGAGCTGTGATTACCTCTCCCTGATCCTTTCCAGGTAGCAATCCCTACCCTGGTATCAATGATCTTCAGCACTGGCAAGATTGCAAAATGCTGATCACCAGTACCTCTGCTTATGGTCTGAGAACAGTCTGGGTCCCAGCATACAGTTAACCTATGGATCTGTATGAAGCAGCTTTTCTCTGGTGCTGCTCTGGGACGGGAACACAATGAATAAGGTCCCTAGTCCTGATCAGATTTTCTTTTAGGATAGACGTGCCTGTATTTTGTATCTGCCAAGCCCCTCTTGCTCTTGGCAGTATACAGGACAAACATCTTCGTCTAAAGCAACTCCCTCAAGAAAGTGTCTCACTCATTGCTTTTGTGAAAGGACCAGATGAAGAAATTAGGCTTCATGTCATCCATTACTTCTGTGGAGGGTGAGAAAGCACTTATTACCCTACCAGGACAGACAAAGTTCTCAGTTCTCTCTGACCCCAATGGAAAGCAGGAGTAGCTCTGCTAAGACAATGGAGTTATGCTGGCCTAAAACCAGCACAACAGAGATTGGAAAGTGACCTCCATGGGAGTGACCAGTGCCACGCGTAGGTATCTCCCAAGTTCTGCTCTCTCCATTGCCACCATCAGCAGATAAAAGCAGATGGCTCCATGTTTGTGAGCTGCATGGTACAACCTGCAGTCTTACCCTTCCTTACCCCCAAGAGTTGCAGTCAGCAGGGCGAGGAGGATGGGGGAAGTAGGAGAGCAGATTTAAAAAAAAAGGGAGAGAGAGAGAAACACCCAGGGCTTAATGTCAGAGCGGCTGTAATAATTAAAACACATTTTGTATTGAGTAATGAAACTTTTTATGGGACCACAAAGGCAGTTAAACTGAGAGCTGGCAAATGGTCTGTCAGTGAGAACTTTTTAAGATCTTGATTAATACTTTCCCTTTGCCTCCCCCTTCTACTACCCCCCAGTTAAATATGTTGACAGCCTCCAAAGAAGGCAAGGCCTTTATTACGCATCTCTGTTGAAGCAGCCAGAAGCAGGTTCCAAATGGTGCCTCTTGCCATTTAATAATTTTTAAAGTTTCCTTGTTATATATGTATATATCATTATTAATATCACTGGGAATAGGGCTACTCTGAAAAGATGCCAGGGATAGGTTGGAACAGTCACAGAGCTTGCTAGGAATTCACCTCCAATAAAATTCCAGTCTCTTGCAAGCCGTTGGCAGTTTGGTCTCTGTTTCTCGGTGGCAGCAGCCAAAGGAGGAGCCATTGTATTTGCCCTCTGACTATTCGAGTAGCTGATCTTGAGGTTAAAGGGCTGATCTGGACATCAGGAGAGCTGAGTACCAAGTCCCAGACTACTGGTTGATCTGTCAAGTCATTTCTGACTTAGTTTCCTCACCTGCAAAATTAGGATGATGATGATACCTGCTTGCCTGCCCATGGCTTCATTTATTGTCACATATTAAGGGCTCAGGGCTCTTCAGATGGAAAGGATAAAGCTTTACCACATGCTATATCAATCCCAAGGGAGCATAGAAAAAGAATCACTTTCTCCTTGGCCCCCAAAAAATGTCCTCTGCTACACAAACATGAGTTGCGTAGAGACAGAGGTGAGGTGAGGGCACAGGGCAGATAGTTGGTCCTCAACCAGTCAGTCTAGCTTCTCTCTAGCAAAGCTCTGTGTGCATTTAGCAGGGCAGTTGAATGGAAAGCTGCTGCTCTCTGCAGATGCTTCCAGGGAAGTGGGCCTAATTTGTACAGGAGCTTGATGGGTAAAGTGATGCAGCAGCTTTCTGCATTAACAACCTGATTCATCTCACACTGGCATCAGTGGCAGCCAGTCCATGGGCATCAAACAACTTTGGAGGCAGTCCTCTCGGTGTGTCTTTCCAGTGCAAGTCAATGTGCCTTACGAATATAGGTCAGAAGAAGCAATCTGGCCTTCGTTTATAGATGTGCTGGGGGGGTGGGGAGTGGGAGGCAGGGTGCTTTACTTAGAGTGGCTCCAAGGGTGTCTATACATGTGCTCCGGGGTGGAGTGGGGGGCGCTTTAATTAGAGAGCTGCTTTGAGAGCTGCTCTAATTAAAGCACTTACAATGTCACATGTATTCGGCATCCTGCACTTCAAAATGGCGGTGGGGACACTTTAACTAAAGCTAGTTTGACAAGCTTTAGTTAAAGTGCCCCCACTGACATTTTGAAATGCGGGGACACTGAATACATGTAACATGGAAGCTGCTGGAGTACGCTAATTAGTATGCTCCGGCAGACTCACCACAGGCTCAATTAATGGAGTCTGCTCCAACGCAGGCTAATTAGCACGTGTGGGAGCAGAGCTCCATCACATGTATAGGTGCCCCAGAGCTGTTCTAATTAAAGCGCCTGAAGCGTCACTTGTATCAGTGTCCCCATGCTGAAAAATGGCATTGGGAGCACTTTAACTAAAGCGTGCCAAACAAGCTTTAGTTAAAACATCCCTGCCACCATTTTTCAGCTCAGGGATGCTGATACACATGACTCTGGAGTCTGAGTACGGTAATTACCACGCTCCAGCAAACTCGATTAACTGAGTCTGCTCTGACGCATTGTAATTACAACACGTCGGAGCAGCCTCTCTGTGCCTGTATAGGTGCCTGAGCGCTAGGGAGGTCTGGAGCCTGTGGAGAGTGGTCAGCCTTATGCATCCAGCCGAGGGCCTGTGGGGTTTGGCACTCACTTCCTAGGGAATCCTAAGATGCTACATTCAAATGCATGCACACATATATACACACAGCAGAATCTGTGCACATGTCCACAACAGACACAAATGCACCAGGAGAGATATACATGCCAACATCTGTACATACACCCCCAGCACATACATGCTTGCTAGCATCTGTACATACATGTGTTAGCACTTATGAACACATACCAGCATCAGTACACCCACCAGCACATACAAACATGTGCCAGTATTTATACAGAGGCAGTTGAACACCTACTCACAAGCAACCTTATGCATACATCCCAGCATCTGTGCACACATGAGCACACACACAAAACTTGGACACTCTGAATTCACCAGTCTATATAAACATGCCAATATCTGTACTCAAACACACTAAAGTATGTCAGCATTTGCATATGTACACTGGAACACAGACTGATACATATGCCCACTCATTTAATACATTTTCACACTGCTCCATACACACATTTATCAGTGCACAGACATAGAAACGTGTCTGAAATTTTGCATTCGGCACAGACATGTTTAATATCAAGGCACACACATATCCTGAGCGCTGTTCTAGTCAAATAACCATGCCATTGCAACACAAGGTGTAGAAAGCCAGGACAGTGAAATGTGAGGCTAACACACTGTTCTGAACCTGTGCAGACGTAGTAACAACACAAACATGGGCACAGGATTGGTTTTTTAAATTAAATTTCTTCTGCTTGTTCCATTTGTTTTTGAGGAAAACTAGCTTTCTTGGAAGGCTGTAACCTGGGAGAAATCCAGATCACAGCAATTCAGCAGGGATCCGTGCTTTATTGCAGCCTGTCAGGTGAATGCTCATTCACTCTACTACATTCAGGGCTTCTAAACAGCAAACCTTTGGCTCTCTTTGGCCCCTCCAGTTTGAAGATAACATCTAAATGGAGAGGGAGGCCTGTGAGATCATGCAAGCTGATCAAATCCATAAAAATGAATCTCACATCATGTCCATTTTCATCTGAGCTACCTAAAGCAATTAGGCCATATTATTGGCCAATCTCTCGGCCCGTTTCCATCCTGAAATCAAAGTAGGGACTGAGGTCAAAAACAAGCAAACAAACCAGAATAACCCCCTCTTCTCCTAAACAACCTCCAAACAAACAAACAGTCTGATGGGTTTCTCTGTTTTTTGAGACTTCTGTAATTTTAAAAACATAAACCACCAAAAGCAGAACTAATTTCTCTGTCCTTTTCAATTTCAGCTTGAGGAAAATATGTTGCCTTCCTACTTGTGTTTTTCTGCTTGTAAAAAAAAAGTGTGTTTGAGACACCAGTCCTGCAGTGCAAGGGTTTGTAATAGAAGAGCAGTTACAAGTCAGCTAAGGTGCGTGCACATACACACGCAGCACAAATGCAGGCACACACACGGTCTCTGTCTCTCACACACTCACATTCACATATAGATGCACTTTGAAGACGCTTGAACTTGGTTGCGTGCATACACATAGCTGTATTGGGTGTTTCTGGAGATACCATGTTTAGTTTAAGTCCTTAAAGGGGAAAAACTAGGAATGAAATATAGTGCTGACAAATGTGCCACAGGAAAAAGAATCCCTTTTCCCAGAGAGCAGATGAAATGGAGGTACCTACAGATTCCTTCTCTGAAACTGCTTGGAGGAGTCACCTCCAGGGATGTGTGGGAAGTGTCTTTATCTCTGTTCAGACCTCGGCTTCTGCAGAGGCAGCTGCACAGAGGTAATAATCAGTGCCGGATACATTGGTGGCTTTGATGATACAAGAAGCTGAACTCAACCGGCCATTAAATGGGAAGGTTTATTGATTGTCTCCGACCATGATTAAAATTCAGCCTAGAACCGACAGATTCCACAGTCCGGGATCCAGTGGTACTGAGCCCACCTGCCCCCTCTACCTCCCCTCTGCTCCTCACTGGGACTCTCTGGACATCACCTGCAACCTCCCTTGCCCTGTAGCCCACCTTGCCCATTTCAGCACCTTACCTAGCTGCTCTCTGGGCATTTGGGATGCCTGTTTACTGAGCTGTAAGAGCCGTCCTCCTCCAAGCGCTGTACCTGATCGGTTGCTGGCGAGTGGGTTTGCCAGGGTAGCATGTTTATTTCAGATACTTGGGGAGATGCCATGAGCTTGGAGCCAAAAATTGAGAGTTTGGAAAAGGAGATGAAACCCCCTCCAGCTCCTCTGTAGATCAGCGTTGTAGAAGCAGGAGCAACACCAGTTGCTCTTCCCTCCACCACAGATACTGTAATTATAGATTAGATGAAATCCCAGTGTTTCACTTTATTTACATTCCTGACCAAGCCTATTCATTTCCGGTGTTTGTGCCAAGAATCAGCACAAAATTTACTGGAAATAATATGGAAATCATTAGGAACCCTTCCAGAGCCTCTTCCTTGGAGCATGTTCTTCGGCTGAGGAGCTTCTAGGCTCCTGCTGAGTTTGCTTTCCTCTTGCTATGCCAAACTGGGTACCTTGGTGGCATGCTGACCTGAACCAACACCTCTCACTAGCCTGAGTCTACAAATGTGCCAGAAGGGTCTTGGAAAAGGTGCAAGCACAACGTGTGTGGTTGCACTGTGTATCATCATCTCCTGGATTCAGGAGCTGAGAAGCTAGAGGATATGGCTCAGTGAGTCTCTGGCATATAATGGGGCACCGGGGAAGAAAGGTCAATTCACTTGGATGGAAGTAAAGCTTAAACCACAGAACAGCATTAAAACCTTGGAACAACACTGTCTTGTCCCCATCTGCCCCTCTCACCCCCAAATAGCTAGCAAATCCTTCCTGGAAAGCTTAATCCACTAACTGGCAGAGGAGCCTTCTCCAGAGCAAGTAGGTTTGCCCTGAACAATCCGTATAACACTTTTTGTCTCTTTGTCTGTCTGGTGTTTTTTTTTTTTAATCCTTGCCTCTGTGTCCCAGAGTTTGCTAATGATAACTGCCATTCTTCCTAATTCAGTATAATTGTAGTTATTAGTCTTCTACTGGAAAGACTCATGAATGAGGAACAAGGAGTATCAGATCCTGAAAGACTCAATGGAATAGTTGAAACACATCTGTTACAGGCCTGGCTGACCTTTCCCTTAGGTGTGGTCATCAGAATGACGTGCTGGACCCAAACCTTGCACCTCACATGTTTTTAGCACTCTCCTGCCACTGTCTCTATATGGGGCCTTTCAGACTCTTCTTGGGAAGTGACACCGAATCTGGAATCTCTTCTCAGGACATGGTGTGCCACAGGCTTCTTTCCCTAAATAATAAAACTAGTGCTAACCTTTCCCTAGTCTTCCCAGTAGCTTATGCTTGCTCCTTCCAGCAACTATCCTTTAAGGTATCCTGAATTAATTGTTTCACAGCATTGGGGACTGTGTAGCAGATAAAGCAAGTAACGTACAGATCTTGCAAAGCACTGCTGGACAGTAAGCACTTTACTTATTGACAGGCCGTGAATGATAGATCGATGGAAATAAACACACACACAAACCTGAACACAACTCTGCCTTAGTTTTCTTGCCATTCTGAGGTTTCTTTAGCTCTCGGCCTCTTCCAGGGAGCCCCGGGATCCTCCATGCTCTCTGTTCTCTTACCTGGACTTGGCTGTTGGCTTTTTTCTGCTCCCGCTGGCTAAAGGGAGATTCTTACACATTTGTCTCTCTCAGTCCTTCCTCTGGGTTTCTTGGTTCCCAAATCCCTTGTGTTTGTTACAGTGGATCAGAGTCATTAGCAAAACTATTAGATAGTTTTGGTAAGACGTCTCCTCTTGATCTTAGCAAAAACAGAAATAGTCAAGTACCCTCACCCTGCTTTAGATCTACACACCTTGGACATGGAGACTGCTTTAGACACCTATATTATTTAAGTATCAGCGATCAAACTGTCTGCAGACTCTGTGTGTGTCTCTTTGCTGATGTGGAATTTCCATCTCCAGGACTCAGTCAACTCAGTGCACACCAGAGCAGACATCAAAATGGTGAATGAAATAGGAGTACAGGTAATATTCATAAAAAAGGTTTAAAGTGGCATTCACATTCTTCCCAGTACCATATATTTACCTTGCATACATCTCTGTACTCACTTACCTTGCCATGGCATTGATTGCCTGAAGTCCCTGGTGGTTCAGTGGTTAAATCCTTGTCTGCTGGGTTTGATTCCTGGATGTTTATACAGCTACAGCCATTGAGGCACCAAATGCCTGGGCTCAGTCTGGCCTTTGGATTCTGTCTCAATGGCCTAAAAACAGGTTGATAGGTCTGGGCAGCCTCCACGCTTCCATACTCCTGCCTAGGCATGTGCATTGAAGGTCTGGGTGTCCTCTCATGCATACACCATGATCCAGAAAGGTCAATGGCTGCTTTTGATTGCCTGTATCATGTGTAACAAAACAGGTACAAATACCCCTAAGAACAAGGAAAGGGAGGAGGGAGAAGATGAATGAATAAGTGTGGATATGATGCTTTTTCATTGAACAAATGTTAGAACCAAAAAAATTCCACCTGCTCTATTTTCTGATTATTGTCAATGTTGTATTATAGTAGGGTTTTCCCAACCAGAGTGTGCTGCTTAACTATCTGAAACCTGCTGAATCACCATCATCATCAACAGTGTTCAGGAGCCTCTTTCATAGACCAAGAATTGTACAAGTTCTGTACAGATGAAGTGATGTGCGTAAGCTCATATAGGAAGTTCCTGGCAGAGCCAGAATCTAATCAGGTTCGCTGATCTGCTGTTTTAAGCCCAAGATTTTCCTTCCTAGGTGTCTTAGAGTTGTTGCAAAATGAGGCTATCCAGATGCTAGCTCAAGTAGGTTTGTAGGGACTAAGTCCACTTTCCAGTCAACAAAATTCCAGGCTGCCTGTAAAAGCATGCCTGCACTGGGCATGAATCGGTCTCTTCAGTCTGCAGAGAGGCCAGGCACTGGGAGACCCATGTCCTTTCTCATTTGTCCAAGTGATGGCCCAGACACAGGAGAAGGTTAAGTTGTTGCTGCCTGGATTGTCCCTGTCATGGAGTTACGCAGAGGCAGTTTCCAAAGCTGCCTTCTTTCACAAGCATTAATACCATATATCCCTTTTTAAAGGAAGGATCTACAAATAGAAGCCACATGAAAGAAATTCAGATGCTTCCCTCCTCACCCAGACAAATCAGGAGGCCTGGATTCTCTTCCCAGCTTTGTTGCTGTTCTACATAAGCCAGTCATTTCACGTCTTTTTCTCTATCATCTTTCTGCATTTTTCCTTTAGACTGTAAGCTCAGCAGGGCGGAGACTGTCTCTCACTATGAGCATGTACAGTGCCAAGCATACTGATCAGAGCAGTAGCAATGATTGCCCTGGATCCTTCCTAAAACTTTGGACTTTCTCCTGCTGAACCTAGGCCTTGACTTGGACATCTAGGACAGAAATTCTGCTGGTTTAAATTGGCCTAGTTCCAGTGTCTTACAAAGAGACCTGCTGATTTACATCATGTGAGAATATGACATTCTCTTTCCTTTTTTTTTTTTTT